TAAAACTAGCCTACATGAATTTGATTTTTGCCTCACTTGTGACAGTTAATTTGATATGAAACTATCATTCTATGCGTTATTATTCTAAGATTATACACATAGGTACCTTATCGACTAACACAGGGTGGATAGCACATAATCCAAGGAAGCGTGTTTTTAAATTAGAAATAACTTTTTGCTTTTAAACATTTTTTTAAAATTTATTTATTGCATAAAATTACACACCATTTTAGCAAAATACCTGTGGAATTCGTAAATAGACAATATGTATTAATAATTAACAGAAAAAATAAAATCATAAAACCTCAAAAATTCATTACACGCGGCCCATTAACAGCACAGTCTGGTGCAGATACAAGAAGGGCATTAGACTAATTTACTTTAGTTACTTCCATAGTACCTATAATGTCGTACGGGATTCGCATGTGGGGTAAAGCGGCAAATATACAAACCATATTTGTATTGCAAAAACGAGCGATTCGTTCTGTGTACCGTCTAGGCTCTCGGGTTTCTCTCAGAGAAAAGTTTAAGGAGACTGGTATCATAACTGTGGCATCACAGTGCATTCACTCGAATATTTTGTATGCCCGTAAAAATATACACAATTCCGTTAAGAAAGAAGATATCCATAATATTAACATCAGAACTAAGTTGTATGTTTTTTTACAATAAATAGCTTAAAACTTATATCAAAAGTATTTTAATTGAAAAGTCATATTACAAAACTGTTGACTACGTGTTAGATAAAGATGTATGGAAAGACAACGTGAATCTTGATTCAAGACAAATATGATTCAAAATGTATTCCATAGCGTTTAAGTTTATTTGAAAAGAGCAATCCCTAGAGTTTCTTGCTCGTTCATCTCTGGAAGGTCAGCGTAGTGAATGAGCAGTAGCTTAAAAAATGACGTTTTCAAGTGTAAAAATTTTACTTATGGAATCATTGACTTAGAAATAAATGGACGACGGGTCTAATACAAAAACCATGAAAAAAATGTCCCAAGTCAACCTATTTAATGTAAAGGAATATGAAAAAGCTAAAACGTTGAATTTAAATTGTAATGTCATCGCAGTACTGTCTAATTTTGCTTCCTTCGCTGTCAATCGAACAAACGAAGACTAAAGCGTGAATGACGCTCTGTATACGATTTTAACGCCCTAATGTTCGGACACTTTTTAGCGCGGACCCGACGTCCATATAATTGTAAGTCAATGTATGGAATAAATGATTATTTGACTTTGTCTTTGAGTTGATGGAGAGCGCAAACAAGCGGTGATTTACTGTGCGACACAGTGAGCGCCGCCGGCACTGCCAGCAGGTGATGAGCACGTGGCCGTACCTACATTAATATTATTTAGCGGGAGGACGATCAAGCGCACCAGTTGCGCCACCAATTCTAGCCAACCGGAATCCTTGTAAAGCCACCAGCAAAAGTCAGCAGACCGTAATTGCGTCTTACTTCTAAAGAATTAAATCCCAAGACGCCAAGGAGGAACTTCGTAGGGTACAAAAATGGGTTGTACCCCGTAAATTGTCTCGTACAAGAATCTCAGAAATGTATTTTGGATTTTCTCCAGAAGCAAGGCGTAGATATTCTCGTGAGGGTTCTAAATTCCTGATACATATATCAACAATGATTATTATACTTGACAGGTATAACACTCAAGAAAGATTATGATGTAGTTAATATAATGCATAAAATATTTTTTTATTTAATCGTGGCATAATGAGTGTTCTCTAAGTCGAGTACCGTGAAAATTCGTGAGGTTCGTTGGTTCGTTCCGTGGATTAGTTGGCATGTTCGTAGATAATTGTTTGTTACATCTGAAAGGTAGTGAATGTGGATTAAGAATGAATGAGTCTAGCCGCGACTGGTAGCTGTAAAGTTATCTAACTGGGTTACAAAATATCTTCATACATTTCTCATAGATGGCGCTACGGCTAAAAAGAAAAGTCGTTGATAAACAAATACTAAATTCGATCGTTACGTGGCTTAGTTGGTATAGCGTCTGACACGGTATGCTAAATGACGTCGGTTCGAATTCGGAGGATTTTTTTCTGAGTGATCGATCTTTGTATTAATAATTGCAACAGTTACGAGATTTTAAGACCCAATTATGTAATGATTGCACACAATACTTTTTTTACATGAAAATAAAATTATGAAACAGAACCAATATTCAACTTGTGTAATGTAAACGAAAACAAAGACGGTACCAAAAACGCCTAGACCCGATACAAATAAAAAAGTTAGTTTTTCTACTTACCTACTACTTTAGTTAGTAACTTAGTTTACTTTAGTTACTCCCGTAGTAATGTCCTACAGGATTCTCATGTGGGGTAAAGCGGTAGATAGTCAAACCATATTTGTATTGCAAAAACGAATGATGCGTTCTGTGTACCGTTTAGGTTGTCGAGTGTCTCTCAGAGAAAAGTTTTAAGGAGACTGTGTCGTAACTGTGGCATCACAGTGCATTTACTCGAATATTTTGTATGCCCGTAAAAATATACACAATTTCGTTAAGAAAGAAGATGTCCATAATAACCTTAGAACTAAGTTCAAACTCATGGTACCATGATTTCGTTTAACTAAATAAACGATTCTTTTATAGGCAACTGTATACGTTTTTACAATAAGATTCCGGAGCATATAATTAGATTATCATTTCCTAACCTCGTTTTTACATAACATTAAAAGTATTTTAATTGAAAAGTCATATAACAAAATTGAAGACTACATGTTAGATAGTGATGTATGGAAAAACAATATGAGCATCATGTTTTACCCTAGCTAATTTCCAAGTTTCAGGAAACATATTTGATTTTATTAAAGTATTTATAATATTATTAATAAAAAGTAACGTGACATTTAGTGTTCCTCGTATCAACAATCTTATCTAATGTTTCATCAAAAAATACCCAGCTAATGTTAGCTTGGCTGTCATCTTTCCAATATCTTGACCTTCTAACCTGTTTAAAGTCTGATTAATTGCTAGAGTGTAAGTAGCGAAAGTGATAATTATCTTTATTATCTAATAATGACAAGACTAATGAAGAAATTACGTTTATCAATCATTTTAAACCATACGTTAATCTAATTTAAATCGTAATCTGTAAGCATAAAAAACACATTGCACCGTGTTATTTTTATATTGCTACCGCTACATATTCAAGTGGCGGTATTGTTTTAATACATTTCCTGCTCCATTTTTGTCAAATATGAAGTGGATCATCTTTGTCTGCCTTTTTGCTCTAGCCCTGTCCAAGCCTGCATATGAGCCCATAAATTTATTCTACCATGAGAGGGTTGGTAAGTAGGAATATTTTTTCTTATTTTTTCATTATTATCATCAACTCGTTTAGACGTCCCACTGGTGAGCACGGGTGTCCTCTCAGGCGAGGATTTAGGCCAGAGTCTACCACGCTGGTCCAATGTGAGTTGGGACCTTCACACGTTTTCCAAAAGTTGCGAACGTTCTTCGACGTGCGGGTTTCTCTTATAAAGCATATGATGAAATTCAAATTGAATTTCAAGAGGGCTGGCTCCGCAGCTGAGCTGGCGGAAATAATAAAAAGTAATAAGTGCCAGGATTTCGGTTCCGACTACCTATTCACAGCCTTTGGAGTCGAAACCCTTGGCCCGTGGGGTACCAGTGCCCTTCATATGTACAAAATTTATCGAAAAAATTAATAGACTGTCTGGGAAACCCAAGGGCAGCTTCCTTGCCCAACGCAATAGCATAGCAATACAAAGGGGGAACGCTGCTAGCATCTTGGGCATCTTGCCGCGGGGACCCAATTTTATCATATAATTTAAAAATCCTAGTTTTACTTTCTAGTAGTTAAGCATTTATTGTCTTTTTTACCTTACCTGTATATTATTTCGCACAAAAATTCTGAAAAAACTCAGAGGTGCGACGCATAAAGTATGTTTCACCTTTTTTTTTTTTTTTTTGACGGGGGGGAAATCTTTATGGATACCCCTGAGCCCAGGGAGACTCAGGGGTTATGTGGGGACTCTCCCTCCAGAGTGGAGAGCCTACCCCACTAAAACCTCCCCGGGTTTCCCTCTCGCCCTATAATAAATTAAGAAATAGCAAATTCTGCGTCCCGGTGTTAAGATTTTCCCTCGCAGAATGACTACTGTAGGCGATTTGAACATAATGTGAACTCTCCTTCCCTCACCCCGTAAGAGCTGGAGTCCCGCAAGGCTCTGTCCTCTCGCCCCTCCTATTCTCCCTGTACACTTGCGATATCCCGAAGTATCAGGCAGTAAATCTCGCCCTCTTTGCCGACGACACTGCGCTCTACTATTCGGCGCGCAGCTCCAAGTTAGTTTCCGCGGCTCTGCAATCTGCCACCACACGCCTAGGAGAGTGGTTTCGCAGATGGAGAATCGAAGTCAATCCCGACAAAAGCGCGGCGGTATTCTTCACGCGAAGTAACCTATCCAGTCGTAGGGTACAAAACCTAACCCCGATCTCGCTCTTTGACCGCCTAATCCCCTGGGTGGACACGGTCATACTTAGGAGTTACGCTCGATAGGAACAAGCACAGCAAACTCTCCCTTCGCAATAAGGTGAGACTGTACACGACCTGCATCCGCCCAATCATGACGTACGCCAGCGTCGCATTCGCTCAGGCAAATCCCGCGTTAATACACCGCCTGCAGGCTCTCCAAAATAGATTCATGCGCAACGCGACAGGTGCCCCGTGGTACGCTAACCTCCACATAGATTTACGGCTCCCCAAAATAGCCCAACTCATGAAACAGGCATCGAGGAAATACTTCGACTCTGCTCCTCACCACCCCACCCCCCTCGTGGTGGCTGCATCCTCTTACGACCCCCTCAGGGAACAACCCCACCGCGTAAACAGGACACGTCGGTCAAGGGAAGTCCTCAACGACCCTGACGACCCTATCACTCTCGCCACTTTGAAGGCCAACCAGATCGCTAGTCAGTCCCGTCCCGCACGCACCAACCGTCCTCGCCTGCGAGGTCGTAGAGCCCCTCATTTCCGCATGTACACTGGTAGATTCTTTCCTAAAGCACGCTCTTCTGGCGGAAGTCTCCAGTAGCGCCCTGAGCCGAGGTCCGTGCCTACTTGGGCGCCCTCAGGCCCGCTACTTAGCTTTAAGTTTATTTTAGGGGTTATGAGCCTTCAGCTCGCCCTTTTCTCCAGTGGCGCAGTAAAGGCCACCAGCGGCCAACTGCCAAATATCCTTCAAAAAAAAAACAATGTGAAGAGCCTACTGCATACATCCCACGCATCTACTGCTTCCTTATCTGGAACAGCACTTTAGATCGTACATAGCTACTACCTATCGCTAGTTACTTAAAAGTACTGTACACCAGCGGGTTGCATCCAGAGTCGATTCCTATTTGGAACGGTGTATGGGACTTCAGTTACGTGTTGTCTAGGGGGAGTAGTTTACTACTGTGTGTTATACTGTTCTATAACGGTCACCCGTACTACGCTTTACTACAATAGTTTAATATTATATTATCAGGTATTCCGAAGGCGGCTGCGATTAAGAGGAGTGAAGAATCCTCTGATTTCAGTGGTAGCAGAATTGTTGGAGGAACGCCAGCCACTTTGTCAGATAGCCCTTGGTTTGTGAGTAGAATGTTCTTTAAATCACTTAATTACAATCTCTTTATTCCAGAAATGGTCACAAAGCAAACAACGAAAGCTCTACTTGATGAAATAGTCTCCAAACCTAAGTTTCTCTCCATCCGATCGTATTCGGTCACGGTGACCACTTTGACTTCTAGTTAAGTTGATTAATGTAGCTAATCTTCGCGGAGAACCTTCGTGCACATAAGTACCCCGCCAACTTAATTATAGTCAATAGCGGAAGGCCTTTTTTCGTCATGTTTCGCGTCAAGTTCAGCTTTTCGCTGCTCTTCGAACTCGGACTTGGACTTGTCTCTTCACAATTCCCCGCCGTCAGGGTGTAGTGCTGCCAAATCTTCCCATTGAGACAGCTCAATGTTGCATCTTGTAATGCAAGATGTGTTTTAAAACTACAACGCCGCAATCATGCTATGTTGTAACTGTAAAACACATCTTGCTCAGTAATGGTGTTTACGCAGTATAAAAATACGTGCTAGAAACAAAACGCTTCTAAATACAATGACGTAAAACCACTTATTTATAGACTTATTAAAAGTTACGACTTATTAAAACTTACGACTTATATAAAAGAAAGTTGACTGATACATATTTTATATTTTGCAACAAGTTTTAGTAATACCAAGTAGTAGTAACAAGTCGATAGAGCACCAAAAAGTGAAGCAATTTCGAGGACGAAGGTGGTCTAGTTTGTCCCACCTAAGATGATATCCAAATATGCAGACTAACAGAGTTAGAAATCCGAGAAATAATAAACAAATCACAAAAATGTCACACGAGGCCGTCATTTAGTGAACCTCTTCTGATTAATAATATTTTATCATATTTTGTCAGCAGTAACATTTTCAGTTGTTTTGCCATTGTACAATTTGATCAATTACCAACAGAAAACCATCTAGTAAAATTAATTAAGGCAGTCGCAAGTTTTTGACATTGACGTGTCCTAATTTGTTTTCAGTAATCAACATTTTTTAAAAACAAGTAAAATAAAGGACTTACTATCTTATTCTAGTATTTTTCTACTATATTAATATTGCGACAACTTGTGATCAACAAATATTTGAACAAAAATTATTCTAAAGGAGGTTTCCAATCACTAAATAGTTCTTCTGACGTCATAGTGGGTACAAAAATGTGGCACGGTTGGTTTTCGTACAAATTGCTGTACTTGCGGCGTCTAACTAGATAACATCTGTGCTTTACTTTGACTTTCGTTTTTCTCAGGCCGGTCTTATACTTTACATGAGGTCTGGTGCGACCTCAGTCTGTGGGTCTTCGCTGCTGTCAAACACCAGGATTCTCACAGCAGCTCATTGCTGGTGGGATGGCAGATCCGCGGCTCGAGAAGCCGTTATAGTTTTGGGGTCACTGACACTATTCACTGGCGGCGTTAGGAGAGGCACTGCTTTTGCTGAGGTTAGTTAAAATAAACTAATGAGTTATTTTTGGTACCTGCAATGTTGGCACTCTTGACCTCTTTACCTAAGAGTGCTTACACACTTGCGATTTATAGCCTTGTATATCGCGCTTGTATCTTGAATTGAATTGATTACGTGAATGAAATGATTAAATGGCTAAGTTCTCCGAGCTCCAGGACGTGAAGTTCGGTGAGCCTAGCACAAATTTTTAATTGGGCTACCACCGCATTAATAAGCGTTAATTTGTCATAGATGTACCCCGGTTACGATCCCCGTACTTTGCACAACGATATCGCAGTATTGAGCATTGGCTTTATTGGATTTAACAGTAAGTATATTTTACAAAAGTTTACATTTCCATCGCAAAGTTGGCTGTGGAAAGAAGTATTTGTTTAACCCTAAATTAAATTAAAAACAAGTACTTTGATTAAATTAAGGAAATTACATAGTATATTCGTAAATGCAATGAAAAATATTGAAGTGAACCGTGCCTGCTTTCGTGGCGAAGGAGCTGCACAAGCTGCCCCCTGTCACGTGCGACCACGTCGACGTCACCAGGCTGCTGAAGGACATCACGTCCCTAAAAGCGAGCCTTGCTGAAGTTCACTGTAAATTGGACGCCTCGGACAATACCATCAGTGAGTTGCGTGCCCAAGTTGCGTTACTGAGTACTGCAGCTTCGGTAAGTAGGTCACCCGAGGCCTGTAACGTGAATACTTGTCGTGAGGCGCAAAACGCGTCTATCAGCAGTTTTGAGTCGGGCTGTATGTCGCCGACCACTGTCACCACGTGCGTTTCCCCGCTCCCCGCCCCTCGTTCTTCCGCCCCGGCGGAGAGGTCACGTTGGTTATGTTGACCCCTCAATGTGACTACGCTGCTGTTGTCGCTGCTAACCGATCCAGTGCTCCACAACCACAACCCAGGCAGTTACCAACGAAGGGGAAGAAAACGAAACGGATACTCATCTCTGGAGAAGTATCATAAGTACCACCGAGAAGAGTTGAACAGTGCAACGAGGACGGATTCAAAAAGGTGGAAAGGAAGAAGTACACCAGCCGTACCCTTAGTGGCACCGCCCCGTCTGGCCCTAATCATTTACTGCGTCCAGCGATACCGACGACGTTGTTATACGTGTCACGGCTTCATTACTCCACAAAGTCTGCTGATATTGTGAAGTATATATGGGTGAAAGCTAATGCTACCCTGAGGGTTGAGCAGTTGGTGTCCCGCCACTATGTATATTTTAATTCGTTTGTGGTGAGAGTAGCAACTCACCATCTGTCGACCTTCATGAAAGATGAGTTTTGGCCGAAGGGGGTCATGTATCGACGTTTCCGAGGCCGGCTATCGGACACCCACGTTCCGTCACACATTGCAGACAATACGTGTAAATAATAATTAGTCAGTAGTGTTTTTATTGTATTATTATGTTTGTTAGTCTATAAGGTATGTTACCTGAATGCAAATAAATAAATAAAATAAAAATTGTTGCGTGTGCGCGGTCGAGAAATTCGAAACGAATACAACAGTTCCAAGTTTCCCCAGAACCAACTTAAAAATGTGCGTTTCCTAAATTGGCCCAAATCGGGAATCGAACCCGAAATCAAGCGCCTATAGTAACCTACTAACCGCAGTACCACCGAAGAGCATAAGTACACTACGTAGGCCAAATCCGTCCACGCGCCGCAGGCCGAGCCTGGCCTCACAGTAGCTCGCGTAAGTGGAGTAGGGGTCGTTTTTAATATTGTCAAACTGCCTTCCATCCATTTTAAACAAAAAGTAAACAAACAAGTCACTGACCTGACCATAGACGGTTTAGTGATGATACCATTTTTCGAATACGATTTTACGATGGTAGTTCAAATGAATATTGTTGAAAAAAGCGATGAGATGTCAAGTTGAAAACTTCGAAATATATTTTTAATCGAATCGAAATATAATTTTAACCAAACAGTTTTGTTTACTTTTTGTTGACAATGGATTGGAACATCCTATAGGTATTATGTGCTCACTGCCAACATCTCGGTCAAATCGTCGCTGTGAGATTGTGGGGAAAGCATTAGTCCATCCGCTTTGCGTTTGCAATAGACGGAAAGCTGTTTACTCACGAAATTACGTTAACTAAGTACATTTCTTTTTTCAAGACGACATAAGACCCATCGGACTGCCCTCGGGTCCTGACCTAGACAACGACTTCTTCGGAGCCGTTGCTCAAATAAGTGGATATGGACGCCACGGCGATCGTAAGTTGATAAAGCTAAGTAAGTCATATATTTAGTATCAGTAGGATCTTTGTGAAAGAGTGAGTCCATGTAAGACATTGACGTAACTAGTCTGTCAAACAATAATACGAGTAATACCAGGTTTCGGTTTGGAAAGGTGCTTTTGAAACTTCAGGCACAGTATAATAAGTAAGACAACTCCACAGTATCGCAAAATCTTGCCTGCAGTAGCGCAACGCCTTTGAAGTTCGCACGATACCGCCGGTCGTTGTAATGCGCTGATGTGCAAGGGTTGTCAATTTGTGACACAACGCAAAAAAATTATTTATTTATTTATTTATATCATTTATTTTTCATTACACAATAATGAAATTATTGTTAAAAAAATTATTATATATGACTTACTTATCTAAATTTTTATTGAATTGATATTCAATTATTTTTATGTGAAATTACTCCACTAGTTAGTTATAATTATTAAGAGCCCTCATGCCAAAAAAGTTTTGACGTTGGCTCCGCCCAAATTTGTGAAACAAATATATGCCTGAAGTTCGCGTGACATGCGACAGGAGATGTTGAATTTTGCGCATTAAAAGTACCAAATGCGTTTTAGCGGAATAACTCTAAAACTAAAGGGATTAAAAAAAATCCGTAGTGACAGTTGTCGATCATGCATAAATATAATTCATTATCTAATTTTTGTCCTAATAACCTGTAACATTTCGAGGATGAATCGAAAAAATGTAAAAATTAGACGTCATTCCGTGATTTTTATCTATCAAGGAAACTTCATTGTTTTATGTTTCTGATTAGTGTCTATGCTTGAATATATCGTGTAGTTACTCATACAATATTTTATTTTTAACTTTAAAGTGGATATACCCCTCTAAAATCAAATCGAAGATTAGGAATTTTTCCTCTGCTCCCTCTTAATACAAAGATCAAACACTCAGAAAAAGTTCGTTCTTCGATCCGGCCGGATTCGAACCGACGTCTTCTAGCAAACCGTGCCAGACACTATACCAACTAAGCAACGGAACGAACCAGCGGACCTCACGAATTTTTTTATCATCGACGAAATATCATATATTTCTCATAGACGGCTAAAAAGTCGTTGAAAAACCAAATACAAAGATACGACGCAAGCACATAGAAAAATTCGGCAGGATCGAAGGCATTTTTTCTGAGTGTTTGATCGTTATTAATAATTATATTACTTATCTAGTTACAAAGTATTACATGTTGCCCTTTATTTTTTATGTTTCACTTTTCTTATATTAAATTGAATGTTAAAATAAGATGTACTCGCATTCAGATGCAGGTTTAAAAAGGGAATAGCAGTGCTTTTTTTATAAATATATTTTCAATATACATCCATCCTTCGAAATGTAAGCTACATACATAGTTATGTATATAGGTACACTTATTTGTGTTTCACGACTTACGACAGAAGTTGAAATAATCAATTTGGCTGTTTTTTATTTCTACGGCACAGGAATTAGAATTTACTTTCATAAATAGATATTTTAGGTAGGCACGTATTACAAAATTATAGGAAAATCAGTCAGGCGTATATCCGTTAACTTAAGATATACATGAGTTACGGGTAACAACTCTGAATCGTATTTTTTCTACCTAGTGCATCCACTCATCAAACATTTATTTCAATATTGTCCACCAGTTCGTTGAAATTGTCTGTCACACAACTCATGTAACTTTGATTTTTGCCATAGCCAATTATGGCTAAATACTGTCTCCCGGTGTGAAGTAACGCCTCATTCTGGAAAGGATGACAAGCTGCCTCAAAAAAAAAAACTAGAATAAGATAGTTAAGTCCTTTATTTTACTAGTTTTTAAAAAATGTTGATTACTTAAAAAACATTAAGACTTTAATTTTTAATCGACTTCAGGTATTAAAATTATTGTCCTTCCAATAAAATGAGCTTATTATATAACAACTTTTTGTAATAGAAGATCTTATCGATTAACTTAAATAATGAAAACGCACGTCAATATATGAACTTGCAACTGTCTTAATTAATTTTATTCGGTGGTTTTCTTTTGGTAATTGATCAAACTGATAAATGGCAAGACAAATTAAAACGTTACTGCTGACAAAACATGGTAAAATCTTATTAATCAGAAGAGGTTTACTTAATGAAACTCGTGTGAAATTTTTGTGATTTGTTTATTATTTCTCGGATTTCTAACTCTGCTACTCTGCATATTTGGATAGTATCTTAGGTGGAATAAACTAGGCCACCTTCGTCCTCGAAAGCAACGAACTCATACGTATGAACAACTTCAGGTTTATGTAAAGACAGCGCACTGTTAATTCTTTGCATTATATATTTTTTTGTATTACTTGTACTACATATCCGGCGATGTATGTAATTATTTGCTCACTATATTCGGACAGCACGTTTGCTGCAAAAATTATCAAAGTTACAGATACTACTGATTATAGATACTACAACACTGAAAAAAAAAACGATAGAACGATAGAATATTTGTATAATATTGCTAAGGTCATAATAATTTTCGTCCCTTTGTTTTCAAAATCGATTAGAATCGAGAACAGTTTTGCGTATACAACACTAAATGTTAAATTTGGCCAAAAGAATGTACAAGCGGCCGTACCACGAAACTGAATGCATTATACAAAAGCGCGTTCGTTCGATATTCATGGCGTATTAACAAAGGATCACAAATATTCGCACCAAGTAAAAGCCGCAATGTATTACAAATCACGACGCATACACTCGGTTGCATATTTGTTTTCTCGAAATTCGTACAAAACCAAAATAATTGTTTTTAAAATAAATTAAGCATCTTCTGATTACAAAATCACTTGCCCGTGGAAGTAAACGTTCCTGTTTACCCGTTTACCCACAGTTATGGTACTTTTGCTGTTTATAATGGCACAATTATGCATTTTTCGCGTTTTTTACTTGGGGCATGCGAAGTACGTACACTTGCGGCGTCTATATCTAGATATGTCTGTGGCCTCAACTATCATATCCTTCGATATCAAGTAACGTGTGAAATTGTAATAATTTTTTGCTATTGACATTTCATTTCGAATAAAACTTCATCTCGACTGATATTAGAATTGAGGTCCAATCAAATTGTTTTGTTTTTCAGAGATGTTTGAAATTTGAATGTATTCGATGTTATTAAGGAGCAATAATAAATATTTTCACAGACAAGAAATTTGTTCTAACAAAACAGTTTACCTTTACGCTGGTCGTAATTTTCGGTTTTTGAACACATTATAGAGAGTTTATGATATGTGTGTAGATAAAGTTCTATTAGTTATATAAATTATGTCACATGTAAACCATAGTTACCAAATAAACTACTATTTCTTTCTAATGTTTCCTTCTAGTTTACGGTTTGCCCACGGATCAACGACTACATGTAGTGAATCTCACCGTGATCGCCAATGAGTACTGCCAAGTTTTCTTCGCACCATCAGTTGTGGTGCCTTCGAGGCTTTGCACTCTAGACACACGCAGAGGCACCTGCGGCGGTGATGATGGTGGTGCATTAGTTACTAGAAATATGGTGGTAAGAAACTTACACATGATCTTGATGAATGGTTGTCAGTAAAGCGAATACTCGATGTTCTTTTTTTTTTTTCTTTTTTTTTTTTTATTGCGACTCGACAAAATGACTGCACCGCGCCTGATGGAAAGTGCGAATACAGTCCAGAGATGAGAGTAACGGATGGAAAACACAAATATCTTCACTCCGTCACTATCATTTTGCCGGTCTGGCCAAATGCACTGGATGTACACCAACTGATCCCTGAACGCGATTCGCAAAAGCGTTTCACTGTGGAGGGTTTTCCGCCGTGTGTACTGTGGTCGCTATCCAGTCGGCACAGAGCCTACCACAATGCTAAGCAGATGGACACTTGTGACGCCCTCGGTCGCCTCTTACGACCCCCACGGGCATGTATGGGGAGGCGACAATGTATTCTTAAGCCGTCGCCCCACGGCTAAAAAGTGTTCTACTTTCGGGCTAGTTTGATTTTATCAAATGGAAACAAAATCAAACCCATTGTCTAGGTTTCTGAATCTGAAGTTTCAATTATACTACCTATAGATTAATCTATTACATTGTCATCTTTCTGTTTTTAGATCGGTGTTGCGTCCTTCACCTCTGTTGCGGGTTGCGATCGCAATTTCCCGGTCGGTTTCAGCAGGGTGACCAGCTTCGTATCTTGGATAAACGCTCAGCTTTAAAATGTCTATTTTTTAACTGACGCTTAAATAAGTTTTTAGAATGGCGAAGAAGACGAGAGATTTATTTTTATTTAGAATTATAATACTATATATTCTTCATAACAGAAATTGAACAACACATACAAGATGCAGCAAACATGATAAAAATGTATATCGACGTACTGCTATTGACATAAGTAATGTATAAAAGAAACTAAGCAGCCCATACAATATAGGTATACAATATCAACAATTAAAAAACCGACGTTACAAAGTTTGCATATCCATTTGTTTTGGAATTACATCTGTACATTACATTTTTCACCACACTAGCTCGGAAAAGCTTTCTTTCTTATTAGGAATCTGCTCGCAAAAGCATTTTTTCCACGCTAGAGTGGAAAAGGTTTATGAAATTCGAACTTGACGATGGACTGTGGTGCACGTAACATTTTCGATAAAAAAAAACGTATAATGACACGATCAACTACGCCATTTGTCTTACATTATTTATGTAATATAAATCCGTTGCTACATTTTATTCTTATTATTTTTGACATTAAACTGACAACATTAACTAATTTTGTTTATTAAAACTGATATGTATAGTTCAACTGTTTTTCTTTCATCTACCACTTACCTCGCTATAGTGAGTTTCAATAGAAGCACCCGCGTCAAACAAATACTTTGCAGCCTTGCACTACAAATAACTATTTTTTAGTTTTTAATCACTTTTGTATAATAACAGTTTTTCTTTTAACGATGACGGAAAACTCTCAAATTCTCAAATTAAAATTGGTGTTTATTATCGATTTTTTCTCGTCCCTAGTAGCGTAGTCGTGATGGGGTGTGTAATGGAAGATATAACAACAAATAATCTATTTTCACTTTGTATAACAACATTTGATATTATTTCTAAGGATATAATCACTCACTGTAATATATATAATCAACAAAAGGTCTAATTTCAATGTGTATAAAAAAAATTTTCAGTACAACAAACATTAGATATAATGATTAGTTGGCATAATGAACAAATGGTATTAGTAG